TATATATAAACATATATATCTTCTTATATATAAAAATAAAGCTCCATATTATGTTAGGTATGCTGAAATTCGTAAACGACTGAACCGATTTGGCCACTTTTTGTTTTGAAATATTTGTGATAATCCAGAGATTGTGGAAAAGGTGAGTTTTTTTTTAAATCGCGTACAAACTTTACATTTTAAATTGATTTTATTTTATCAAGGTATAATTTAAAATAAAACGTAAATACGTAAAATGTCGTATTTTACAAATTATGTTCAATTAAATTTAATTGGATGTTTTGGATTTATTTAATTGTAGTAAGTAGTTTTTATGTAGTTTTATTGAAATATTATTAATCGTGACGCATAGATTATTAAAATCTCAGAATATCTTTTTTTTTTTAAATGTTAACATACAAATGCACTTTTTGGCTTTATGGCACTCTTTTATTTTTGCAAATGATTTTTTTGCAAAGTCTGTACCTGCAAAATCTCTTTTAATTATTTATTTATTTATTAATTTTACAAGCCGTCGGAATAATAATATTATAATAAGGCTTAAGTCAATATTTTATAGGTTTAATATAATTTAATTAATTGTTAGCTATTTTATTACTTATTTATTTATTATTTAATTTATTTACTATAAACTTAATTATATTTAGTTAATTTTAATTATTTTTAAATATAACTAATTTGTTTGTTGCAACTATTTTTTAAAAATTTAATAAGTATTTTAATAAGCTTTACAATACTTTTACAATATAATTATTTTATTTAACAAATTTTAGGTTATTTTATGATATTTAGCAAATTTAAGAGTGTCTTATATTATTGTTATTATTATTATTTTTGTATAATTTTATACTCATTTGTATTTATAAAATATAATTTAGATTATAAAATTTTATTTGCATATTGTGTTACATATATAAATATTTACAATAAAAATCTATAATAACTCGTGTGGTTGTTAAATGTAAAAAATGAGGGAAAAAAACGTTCGAAAGTCGCATTTGGCAATAAAAAATTGATTAGATGAATATATTAGTACGGAACTATAAATTCCAATAAAAATAAATATAAAGTTTATATAAGTTTTACTAAATAAAATTTATTCATATTTTTCCCTTGATGAACCTCCATTCATTGCCAATGAATAGAATAACAACATTCCTCCATCGTCTGTTTTTTTTTATTTTTTACCTCAATAGAATTCCATGAAAATAGGAAAAATCTCGGAAAATCGACAAAAACAATTCGAACGTTCACTAGAAATCTCTTCTTTCTAAATAGACTGAAAATCGAGAGCCAAAAAAGAAAAAAAGAAAGTTGGGAGAGTTTTTGAAGAGCACTTTGCAAACAAACGTGCCGAGGACGAAGAAATATTGGAAAAAAAATTATAATTGGAGATAGTTTGTGTGATTTAGAAACTGTAATATTTATTTTGATTTTTGGAAATGCTATTTTCGGAAATTCCAACCGGAATTCAGTTAGACACACGATTTTGTGTATTTTTTGCACATAATTATTGGGAGAAAAAAAATTAACTGGATTTTGTGTAAGTGGATTTATAATATTGGAAAAAGTTTGTCAAAGGCAATTATATTTATACAAAACTATAAAAAACTGTTTTTGCAAAAAATTCGTAATCTGTAAAAATTTGTTAGAAAACTTAAAAAATTAAAGAAGACTTGAATAAAAACTGTATAAAAGTTTACATCAAGTCAATTTATAAAAAGTGTATAAATCAGTAAAAAATCACAAAAATATGGATTATATAAGTGTACTCAAAAATGTATTATATAAAAATCTATTTAAACCTATTTTTCCAATCATTTCCCCTAAATTCCAACCGGAATCCAATTAGAAGGATCCATTACACTCGCATTTGTGTTTTTTTGTGCACAATCGACGAAATCCCAGGATTAAAAGCATTTTAAGTATTATTTGTGTTGCACTAAAATGCAGAAAAAACGCTTATATATATATATATATATATATATATATATATATATATATATATAGTTATCTCGTTAGATGCAACATTTGCAGAGGACTGTTTCGAATTCAAAATAATCAAAATGATTTATTACTTTTGGAGTCCTTGTGGAAATTATTTAATTAAGATCGCAAACGATAGCTTTAATTACACTTTATATATATATATATATATATATATATATATATATATATATTTGTAACAAGATTATCTCTCCCATCATTTGTATGAATTAGGAAAATCCTTCCACTATTTCTCTTAGTTAAGTAAAACCAACCAACGTAAATATGAAAAATTACACAAATTTCTTTTATTATATATATATATATATATATACTCGTATATGTATACATATATATATTTTTTTTAAATTTCAGTGTTATTGTTCGTCGTCCTGATTTGCAAGAAATTGATAAGTTAAACGACACGTGACTTCAAAAACAATGTTGTAAGTACCAAAAGTAGTTTTTGTAATATAATTTGGCCCTTGGCCAAAAGACGATCTTTGCCAAAAATCTCAAGACAACGAAGAAAAGTTGTCTCGATAATATTCGCTCATGCATTTATGATTAGCTCGAAAAAAATTATCAAAAATATGGAAAAAGGTAAAAGATATATTTAATATATATATATATATATATATATATATATATATATTATATATATATATATATATATATATATGTATATATATTTATATATATAAACTTCATTATTTTGTTTCTTTTACATCTGCGTCTACGTACACATTTGTTCTGTACTTTTATTTATTTTATTTAAAAATTCTTCCGAGAAAGCTATGTACAAAAGAATGATTACATAACAAGCAAAAAGAATATTTTTCCACTACAATACGTCTTTTAAATTTAGTTAAAGAAATATACTCAAACATATTTAAAAAAAAATTGTTTCTAGAGAAAAGTTTGTGAGGAACAGTGATTTGAACGCTAAAGGTAATTAATAGGCGCGGAACCTGATTTGTTGATAAAAATTGTTTAAAACTAGTTTTTATTACTTTTTTTTCAAATTATTGAAATTAAATAATTAAATATTTGTTTTTTGCGTTAAATAGTGTTGTGTATAAATATTTCTTGCACAAAACATTTAGCTGGAACGAGAAATATAACAATTTTTAAACAAGATTTTTACGAATGCCAATTTTTATAAATAAGTTTCACGAAGTTACATCTTTAAACCCATAAAATTTGTTTAGCTCTTAGCTGATAATTGTTTGTCAAATTGACAAAATTTGTTAAATTTTTGACGTAAGTTTTGTCTAAAAAAATGTTTCTAAATTTATTTGCACACGAAAAAACTAAATAAAATTTGCAAAAAAAGTGATGTACCACACTTTGATATTCACTAATTTTCATGTTTTTCGAAAATACCAAATACTTTTACTTTGAATAACATTTTAAAAATAATGGTAAAAACTAATTTTGCTATTTTTAAATAAATCTTGTTTTATTTGTTGTATTATATAAATAAATTTGATATGTTGCAAAATGTTTAAACAAAAAATTGCATTAATCCGATTTTTTTACTAAATCTTGAATTTAATCTTTTGTGTTTATAGTAAAAATGAATTTAGGATTTTTAATAAGGATCTACAAAATTTATAAAATCTAAATTTTAATTGTAAATTTTATAATTTTTTTAAATATATATAATTTTCCATAAAGTTTTTATCCAAGACATAAGTATATTTTTTAGTTTCATAACTTTTGGAAACTTTTTCAAAGTAAATTATTACAATTAGTTCGAGTACTTAACATGATTACTTTTGCAAACTTTTTCAACAGTTTTGGTACGAAAATATATTGAAGAATAATTTTATAAAAAAAAACCTAATATTAAATTAATTAAGTAATAAACAAAACTGACTTGTAATAATAATTTTATGGATTATGGTTTAAATTTTAAGAATTATATAATTATTTTTTAACATAGTAATTATTTATTTAATTTAACTTACTGCAATATTATTTTTTAAATATTGTTTCAAATTAACATGCAGGCTATTATTATTATTATTATTATTATTAATTTATAAAAATACCTACACTAAGATAAATATGAATTGAATTTTTTTATAAGAAAATAAAATGTTTAAGAAGACGTTCTTCTGAAGACTGTTTCATTCAACTATATAATATAATTTTTTGAGAACATGTAAATTAATAACTGTAATATTAAACGGTACAAATTTTAAGATTTATATAATTATTATTTAACATAGTAATTATTTCATTTAACTTACTGAAATACTATTTTTTTGAATATTGTTTAAAATTAAAATATAGGCTATTATTATTATTATTATTATTATCATTGATTAATAAAAATACCTACACTAAGGTAAACATAAATTGAATTTTTTTAACCCCAAAGAAAATATTTTAGAACACATTCTTCTAAAGACTGTTTCATTCAACTATATAATTTTTCTTTAACCATACTACATGCCTATATAAGAAAATCTACGAAAAACGTTTTTCTGAAAGGTGTTTCATTCGTCTATGTAACATTTTTTTTAAATTAGAAACAAACAGAAACAATATGTATATATATATTTTTACATACATATATATATACATTTTGAAATATGTGAGTTTGGTGTTGATATATATATATATATATATTGATGAGTTATTTAGAATCGGGCAGTAACACCAAGTAAAAAAACTAAAGTAGTTTTGAAATAAAGTATTTCAAAACTACTTTAGTTTTTTTTACTTGGTGTTACTGCTCGATTCTAAATAATTCATCAAAATATATATACATATATATATTATATATATATATATATATATATATATATATATATTCTAGAAAAATATTTTTTTCACTGACCTGAATTTGGATGATTGTTGCTATTAGGCCTGGCGCTGGTTGCCCCGTCTCTGGCCTCGATTTCAAGGGCGTAGGCGCCCTGCTTTTCCCTATCAAAGACAACTTTGGTGAAAACTTCCCCTGACTGAAGGTTTATTTCGAAAAAGTCTTTGCCTTCATTTCTTGGGGAATCTACCACATAGTAATAAACCTGGAAGAAAAAAAAAATTAGTTAGATAAATAGTCAGTAAAAATAAAAATTAAAATATTTTTTTTAATTACAATATTTATTACAACTGTTAAATAATTAACATCTAGTAATAATAATAAATAATAACATAAATTTAAATAAATAAGAGTACAAAGGATAGAATTTACATTAAAATGATATCCGGAGTATGATGATTTAATATATTAGGTTGTCAAATATCTCCCTTCCGCTTTTTTGCTCTTGGTTTAAAATACAAAAAGGCGGAAGGGAAATATTTGACAACCTTATAGAATAAAAGCAAATACTAATAAAAATAAAATTAATAAATAATATAAATAAAATTTCTGGATAATAAAATAATATTAGAAAAACCATGAAATATAACAAGATAACAATATTAGAAATAAGATAATAATAATAATAATGATGTTAATGTTAGCGTATTGAAATATACTATACCACTATTTATAACCTTTGAAAAAAGTTAGACACAAAACTTAAAAATGACAGATATTTTGAAATGTATTGCTAAAATTGCAAATTTGAAAATTGGGTGTCACAAAAGTCATAATGTAATATGATGTATTTCAAATACGAGTTTATGGTGCATCTATAACATCCTGTGGAGCTCGTTGAAAATGCACCACTATTTATAACCTTCGACACATTTTTTTAAAAATGACAAATATTTTGGAATTTATTGCAAAAATTGCAAATTTAAAAATTTTGTTGTGTAATAGACATATAAGATAATAATATATTTAATTTACAAGTTTATGGTGCATCTATAAAGTCCTGAAGAGCTCGTTGAAAGTTTTTTTTTTTTTTTTTTTACAATATTTATTACAACTGTTAAATAATTAACATCTAGCAATAATGATAAATAATAACATAAATTTAAATAAATAAGAGTGCAAAGAATAGAATTTACATTTAGATGATATCCGTAGTATGATGATTTAATATAAAATAAAAGCAAATAATAATAAAAATAAAATTAATAAATAAAATAGTAGAAATTTATTAACATTAAAATAAAATAAAAATTAAAATAATATTGACATTTGGAAATAAATTATATATATATATATATATATAAGTTTTAAAATAAAAATAAAAATAATATTAACATTTAGAAATAAATTAATTAATTATAAATAACGTAAATTTTTAGGCACGTTTTTTAATTTCAATTTATCGTACTACGATTTTGATATAAAATTTGTATATGTATATAAATGTGTATATATAAATGTGTGTAAGTATATGTATATATCTACGTTTATTGTGTTTAATACGATTATATAAATTCGTAGTCACTTGTCGGCTATTGAAATTGCAAATAATGATTTTGTGGAATTAATTGAAGCTGGATTTGTTAATTACGACCAAATGATCATAATTTCCCTTTGTTCAATGAACTTATTGAAATGGCAGTAATATTCATTAATTATACATAAATACATATATATATATATATATATATATATATATATATATAATATGTTTAATTTGAGTTTAATATCGGGCGTAACATCAATAAAAATAGTATGAGTTTTTTTTAAAAATTTATTTATTTAAAATCCATACGTTTCGGCTAGCATCTTAGCCATCATTCAGTGGTAATCAAGTTAACTATAAAAATTGAAACTAAATAAATTATATATATATATATATATATATATATTTGCATATATAATTTTTTGCAAGTTTTATAATAAATTTGAAGTTTATTTTAAAAAATCGTTATATAACTTTCCTTAAAGAGTAATTAATTTTTTGCAAGTTATTTAATAAATTTGAAGTTCATTTTAAAAAATCGTTATATAACTTTCCTTAAAGAGTAATTAATTTTTTGCAAGTTATTTAATAAATTTGAAGTTTATTTTAAAAAATTGTGATTTAATTAAAAATAATAAAAAATAAAATAAAACAATAAAATAAATTCACCTTTTGTGACAAACAAAAATTGTAAGAAATTTTTGCTCGTTCGATTTAAAATAAAAAATTCGTTGTGTTTAAAATTACAAACGAAAAACTTAATTTTTTAACTGATATTTATTAACCGGTTATTAACTCATTATTTATGCACTTGCACTTGTATTTAATTGACTTGTAATTAATTAAATTTAAAATTGTAAATTGTATAAGGTTGTCAAATATCTCCCTTCCGCCTTTTTGTATTATAAACCAAGAGCAAAAAAGCGGAAGGGAGATATTTGACAACTTAATATTTATGTCCAAGGTAAATTCATGCACTATAATGTAACGTTTATTGATTTTTCGATAAATTCAATCCGGCGTCTAAATCATGACTGAATTTACAAATAAAATATTTTATTCAAAGAAATCGTATTTGTTTATACTTTGAAAAACCCAAAATCAGCGAATGTCAAAGTGTGGGGCAACCAGGGAATGTCAAACTGTTTTTCATAATCAAAAATGCTGAATATTGATTGATTTAAATCGTGCGATTTATTTTCGTAAAATATTTTGTAAGATTGCAAGATATACAAAATATTTTTTAAAGAAAATTTTATCTAGGTTTTAAGTGTGTAAATAATTTTTGAAGACTTTTTTAGACAAAAGTTACGTCAAAAAAAACTAACGAAAATGTACAACAAAAAGTTACACAAAAATCCTGATATTAAAAAAATTTATGAAATATAATAAAATTCATGAACTGTAATTATTTCCACTTTTTTTTTCTAATCAAGAATTTTATCTAGTTTTTATGTGTGAAAAAAGTACCAAAACAATCACTATCTTTATATGCTAAAAAACAAATTGCTCAGGATTTTCAGAACCAAAAATCAGGATTCAGGACATCTATTATATTTACCTGGTTGTTAGGAAAAGTTCCATCTTTGTCAATGGCATTCACTTGGGTGACTTTGGTGCCAATTGGTTCACCTTCTAAGACAGTTTCTTGTTCTCTTTCAGTAAACAAAGGAATTTCATCATTGACATCTTCCAGCATTATGTAAACTGTTGCTTCAGAAGCCAATTGTTGGGCACCATTGTTCTAAAAAATAAAAAAAAATGATTGAGAACATGTTGGTCAAAGGAACCAGGAAACACCTGATCAAAAATCTAGTGAACACTTCATATGATATTTGTGAGTAATTTGACAAAAACCAAACAATGACCAGAATTTTCTATTAAATGCTAAAGAAAATGAAAGGTCGAAGTCGTTTTCTTCGCAACTTTAATGCTCCTCCTAATTTAGAATCCAGGAGTAATTCAATTATTGCAAACGCTTTACCCAATTTTAACCAAAATAGCATTTTATCTTGTTATAATAGCATCAACATATTATTTGTTTATTTTAAATGTTTCTGAGGTAGTACTCAATTTTTTTTTAATTTTTCTTACCTCTACACGTATGGTCAAATTATACTCCTTGATGGTCTCATAGTCCAGTGGATGATTTACTTTGATATCAGCCCAAGTAAAACCATTATCAGACCTTTGTTGAAGGTAAAATGTGTGATATTTATTGGTCTGAGCTGTTGATCCTGGCATTAGTCGATAGAAGACCGTTGGGTTGCCTTCTATACCAGAACTGGGGAAAAAAGTAAGAAAATTAGAAAACATGGTGAAAATCTGATGGTATTAGTATTAAAAGTAATTAAAATCAAAGGTTTTTTTTGTAAGAAAGGAATGTAATTAATTTTGTATCAGCTTCTAGATTTGTCTAAAAAAAATATTTGATGTATCTCCAAAACTTTAAGATCAATACACAAAAAGTGACCAAAAATTAATTAAATATTTTTATAAGTTTACCATTAAGACGATAAGTTTATCATTGTTTTAGATGCAAAAATAATTTTGTTCATACTTACCTGAAGATATTGCCTAAATAGGAAACTCAAATTTACTTTACCATTAAATTACCTAAAACCTGGACAACCCTAAAACATCTAACTCCTACTAACCCCATGTATAAAAATTTTTGTTCTTACGAAATTTATAACTTATATATCACAACAAATATATATATATATATTTATATATATATATATATATATATATATATATATACCTCATATTAATAATATTTATCCTTTACAAATATCAAAATTGTAATATATTTATGAACTATACTTTTGCAATAACACATCTAAATTTTTATACTAAACGTGTTTCCTCTTTAATGTAAATGATTTCCTCTATAATATAATTGACGTTCTGGTACTTGATGGATATTATTGTAAATTTTGAAAAATTTTGTTTAAAACTTAAAAAAATCTAGTATTAGGAAATAAAGTAAACTGTATAAGGAATCACATATCCAAAAATCATAGTTGTATTCGGAATAATACGTCCTTAGGAGCTCCTCGAAAATAACAAAACATTTAATACTCAAGTGTCGGCCCAACAATTGACGTTCAGGTACTTGATGGATATTATTGCCAATTTTGGAAAATTTTGTTTGAGACTTAAGAAAATCTAGTACTAGGTAATAAAGTAAACTGTATGAGGAATCACATATCCAAAAATCATAGTTGTATTCGAAATAATACTGGCTTAGAAGCTCCTCGAAAATAACAAAACATTTAATACTCAAGTGCCGACCCAACAATTGACGTTCTGGTACTTGATGAATATTATTGCAAATTTTGGAAAATTTTGTTTGAGACTTAAGAAAATCTAGTACTAGGAAATAAAATCAACTGTATAAGGAATTACATATCCAAAAATCATAGTTGTATTCGGATTAATACGTCTTTAGGAGCTCCTCGAAAATAACAAAACATTTAATACTCAAGTGTCGACCCAACAATTTGGTACCTGATGGATATTATTGCAAATTTCGGAAAATTTTGTTTGAAACTTAAGAAAATCTAGTACCAGGAAATAAAGTAAACTGTATAAAGAATTACATATCTAAAAATGATAGTTGTATTCGGAATAATACGTCCTTAGAAGCTCCTCGAAAATAACAAAACATTTATTACTCAAGTGTCGACCTAACAATTTGCTACCTGATGGATATTATTGCAAATTTTGGAAAATTTTGTTTGAGACTTAAGAAAATCTAGTACTAGGAAATAAAGTAAACTGTATAAGGAATTACGTATCCAAAAATCATAGTTGTATTCGGAATAATACGTCCTTAGGAGCTCCTCGAAAATAACAAAACATTTAATACTCAAGTGTCGACCCAACAATTTGGTACCTGATGGATATTATTGCAAATTTTGGAAAATTTTGTTAAAAACTTAAAAAAATCTAGTACTAGGAAATAAAGTAAACTGTATGAGGAATCACATATCCAAAAATCATAGTTGTATTCAGAATAATACGTCCTTAGGAGCTCATCGAAAATTACAAAACATTTAATACTAAAGTGTCGACCCAACAATTGACGTTCTGGTATTTGATGGATATTATTGCAAATTTCGGAAAATTTTGTTTGAAACTGAAGAAAATCTAGTACTAGGAAATAAATTAAACTGTATAAGAAATTACATATCCAAAAATCATAGTTGTATTCGGAATAATACGTCCTTAGGAGCTCCTCGAAAATAACAAAACATTTAATACTCAAGTGTCGACCCAACAATTTGGTACCTGATGGATATTATTGCAAATTTTGGAAAATTTTGTTAAAAACTTAAAAAAATCTAGTACTAGGAAATAAAGTAAACTGTATGAGGAATCACATATCCAAAAATCATAGTTGTATTCAGAATAATACGTCCTTAGGAGCTCATCGAAAATTACAAAACATTTAATACTAAAGTGTCGACCCAACAATTGACGTTCTGGTATTTGATGGATATTATTGCAAATTTCGGAAAATTTTGTTTGAAACTGAAGAAAATCTAGTACTAGGAAATAAATTAAACTGTATAAGGAATCACATATCCAAAAATGATGGTTGTATACGGAATAATGCGTCCTTAGGAGCTCCTCGAAAATAACAAAACATTTAATACTCAAGTGTCGACCCAACAATTGACGTTCTGGTACTTGATGGATATTATTGCAAATTTTGGAAAATTTTGTTTGAGGCTTAAGAAAATCCAGTACCAGGAAATAAAGTAAACTGTATAAGAAATTACATATCCAAAAATCATAGTTGTATTCTGAATATTACGTCCTTAGGAGCTTCTCGAAAATAACAAAACATTTAATACTCAAGTGTCGACCCAACAGTATTTGTTTGGTATATCCCTTTTTGAACGGTTTATGAAAATTTAGTGAAATATTCGGCAAATTTATACAAAATTAAATTATCTACAATATCGTCTAATAAAGTAAGTCTCTACATTAACTCGGTATACTCTAAAAGCGTAATTAAAAATATCAATCTATAGGGCATACAATTATCTAAGACTTAGCTCTTCATGCATTCGTTTGGTGTAACTCTTGTAACTTTTGAATGGTTTATGCAAATTTAGTGAAATATTCGGCAAATTTATACAAAATTAAATTATCTTTAACATTGTCTAACACCATAGAACCCTACAGCAACTAGGTATACTTATAAATTGCTCCCAAAACAACACATTGATTAAATCTTTTTTGTCAATTTTTTTAAGTATAAAAGGTCAAAAATCTGGTCTTCTATTTACCTGGCTTTAACAGAAACGACTTTAGCACCAACTGGTAAATTTTCCCTAATATAAATTGGCCCATAAACGACATGGTCCCAAACTGGTGGATTATTTGCACGATCTACCACATCGATTTGAACTTCTACAGTTCTGGATAAAGGTGGATAGCCTTTATCCTGAGCCATTGCTTCTAATTTATAAGTCTCACGCTAATGGTAAATCGACAATTGGTAAGAAAAATTAAGGACCATGACCAAGAAATTTAAAAAATATCATAAGTATGTTGTTTTTTTTATAAAAATCGTCCAGTATCCATTACATCCATCCAGCATCCACGATCACCATCAAGTCCAGCGTCCAAAGTATGCCACAAAAAGCAAAAAAGCAAAAAAAAATGACCACCATTAGTAAATCACCATTATCAAATACAAACTAAACTACAAATTTAACAAAAAAAATTGACATCACTCCCCTGCAACTGCATCAGAAAACCTGAAACTTTTGGTCCTTGGATTAATAAATTTCTATCTAATTCATTTTTGATTAAAGTTATTGCAGACATATTCTGTCATGAATTTTTTTTTTTTTTTGCATTCAATTGACCTTAAGGTATTTAAATAGTTACCAATTTTAAAGAAAGTCAAATTAATGGTAGCGTACTTACCAGGAACGTCGATGATCTTGGAGGGTAAAGGTAAAGGACAGAGTGGTAAGGGATGAAGGGCAGTGTGGTAAAAAACAAGAATTTTGGTGAAAATTTAGTGGTTGTTGCTTTGACGTTGCTCAAATTTGTAAAAAAAGTGCTATTCTTATTTAAAACTATTAAGTTTTAGGGAAAACTGCAAAACTGTTTGGGTTCATCAAAAATAAGTCCATTGGGTTTACTGATAACATGAGACTAGTCCAGGCTTTGTTTACAATTATCCCAGAAATCTAATGTTACTATTGGCTTTTGATAAAGGTAAGTCCAATTTTTTGGCACAATTACCAAAACGTACCCCAGAAATCCCTTCTTTTCTATGATTACCTGAGATTATAGGCTTTCGGTTGAAGATAAGACACAATCACCCAAA